CGCGTTGAGAGTCTGCATATAAGGAATATGCCGCCCCTTGCGAGCTAAAAGTCGTTTTTTTCCACTAGGCAAATATGTTTGTGTTGAACATGGGGAATAACCGAATGTGATCAGTTGCTATGCGTCTGCACTGGTTGCATTTGACTAGCATCTGCTGACTGTGGAGTCTGTTGGCAACTTTGCTGAGTGTGTGGAATGAGTCTGCTCTAATCTACAGTCTTTGTCACCCGGACTTGCTGGTGAACATAGTCTCTCAACTTTCGAAGAATCTTTGGAAAGAGGAGAATTTGGAGCACCTGCCTATAACAGAGTAATTGCTGTTGCGTTATGTTAAATAATATTCATGCGAAGATATGTTTTTAAGTGAAGGGAGATGTGTAATCGACATTCCTATTGGTATAGACAATCACACATGAATGCTTGATATGGCATCACGTCACTTGTCGTTTTTGCAGATAATGAGTAAGGGCATATTGGCAACAAAGCCGTTATCTGTGGAGACAAAAAGTTAGTTTACGGGGAATAAAAGGGGTAGCGGAATGCGCCCGATAACCTGTATCCTGATGCTCGTTGGATCTCTAGCTAGGGCTCTCTCTACCAGGGATGTTCTTCTGTTAGTCGTTGACAATGCACTTGTCACCGTTTTGGACTCGGCTGAGCCGGTGTTGACTTCTGTGAGCAATCTTCGTTTCTTTTTCACATTGCTTGTATTCCTTTCTACCCTCAGACAAGTTTTCATAGACATTCTAGCCAGTTCGTAGTGATTTCAAAATGGCAGCATTACTGTTCAATGCATTTTTTAGGTCCATTCACGCGAGTGTTATTTTATTTCCATATGCTCTGTTATTTTTCGCTGCTTGCTCACTGCAGTTTGTTTATGTTCGGTCATCGCTCCGTATAACTGCATGGAAAATTTTGCTAATAATATGACTTGAATGTGAGAATGAGGAAGGCGATTCACTTTTCAGCTGTCATCATCGCCAATGCACTCGTCACTATGCAGTTCTACTTACAACTTGCAAAAGTGATAATTTTTCGTCAGGGTGAAGATCGCCCCTTGAAAAATATTCTAAGTAGCATGTGTTAAGGGGTAACATTCTAACTGCAGGTTTTTGTGATCCCTTATAGCCTAGCATAGCGCTACTTACTGAAGTCGAAATTGGAGGATATTAAAGGTGCTAAACCGCTTACTGTTCTCCAGAACCCGTGTATGATGAGAAAATTGGTCCGTTTTCTCCATTTTTATGTTTTAGGCTTAGATGGGATTATTTACGATTTTATGTCTTATCGCCCTTCGATTTCCGGTCCGGCAGTAAGGGCAGTGCCGTGGCGGATATTGTTTCGGGCCTCAGGGACCACGCCGATGTTGCTTTCAACGCTCACGGTCGTGCACTCTCCACTTTCCTGGGTGTGGTCGACCTTGTACGCGGCTCCGACTCTTATTACATGTTAGGCTTTATTGACCTCTCCTTATTTCCTCTTCCCCTCTCAAAGGTCGACGGTAGCGTTGTTGCTCAGATTATTATTATTGGTACATTCATTTGATTAGTTTATCCAACTTTCTATTGAGCATAAATAAGTACAATTGTGTAACAATAACTCTTCAATCGTAACAGTCATTCTTAGTGTAGAAGTGTGAAGGAGACCATGTCCAGCGATGAGTCGCGTCGGCACTGGGTTTGCCGTGTCTGCGGTTGCATAGTCACGGAGCGTCTCGTTAGTGTCGACACCGTTATGCAACAATTGCACGACCTCTTCCTCGGGAAGACTGGCATCTTCTTGATAGGGAGCCGTCAACGATCAGCGGATGCATTTCGTCAGCTTATCCTATTATTTCACGTTTTGGACCATTCATGGGTACCTGCTCACTATATTCGTTGTTTCCTCCGTGCATGGATAAGCTGATCAAATTTTCGACATGTGGATTCGCAGAGCCTTAATTTGAATCTCTGTCCTCCATTGCATCACTTTACGTAGTACGTTAAATGGGTGTATTTGTTCATGTTATGAGTTTCTTAGTTGTCCCTTGCATCGCCGAGTCTTTTAAAGCCATATTGTGGTCTTCATGTGATTGAGGTCTTCTCGCCCTAATGACGATGTAAATATATCTGATGGAATGATACTGGAAATGCCATTTGTTAAAGCTTTTTAGTCATGCCTTGATTTATGGAATCTAGTCACTTACCAATTGTAGAGCTCTCTCTAAACAGTGATGAGTATCGAGTGACAGATTGGGTTTCCTTCTGGATTTTGTATGCATGTGAATTGAAAAGGTGATGATTACTTACGGTGGGATTGCTTGCAATTTGTCTTCTCTAATTTCTTTTACACTGTTAAATAAACCACTCCTTTTTGTGGAATTGGGCCTACTTTACCGCATTGTACTGTAACAAGGCTACTTGTTCAGGCGTTCTGTGTGCGACATAAGCGAAGCCTCAAATCTCAATTCAGTTTAAAATAACAAACACCGAATAATTCTGTTGCTGTTAGCACTGACTTAGCTAGTATGGCCAACATTGTAGAAGTTTTGCAGGTGGATCCTTAATTACAAATTATCCTGTAATTTTCTTTTCACGGTAGACATCCCTCGCCTAAGATCGGTTGATCCCTCAGATTTGTGTGCGTCTTAACTGTGTCTTATTTTGATGTTGAGAGTGTGAATAGTAGTTAAAACCATGAAACCCTTTAATATCTCCGTAGATTGGACTCGATGTCGGTTTTCACAGTCACAAGGCATAATTTGTGATAATACTTTTGCCGAATGGTGGCAAAAGCAAACAAGTAACTTTTGAGACAGTTTATTAATCACTTGACATTCACGAAATGCACCTCTCTTTTGACTGACCTACCATTGCTGCAGTTTGATGCGTATTTGTCTGGCGTCACGTATATGTGACATGTATTCTTTGTACAAAATCCCCTCCAGAATCTTTTGTGCCGTCCTTTAGCGCATCTATTCTAACTAATTGACGTGAAAAACAAAACCTACTTTTAGTTTTAATTAAAAGTTATGCGTAAAGTAGTGGGGCAGAGTGCTAGTGACGAAACAATAAAGGTAGGCGGTGTTGAATGTGTCAAATTAAAGGCTGCAAGTAGCGTGCCCTTCACTGTAGAAATCTCACTGGTTACATGCCTCCCCCTTTGACCGGATGGAAGAAAGCGGGCCGGAGAGACGGTTTTGCTAGGTATTGAGGGTCTGCTCACAGTCGTCTTCTTCCCTTTCTGCCTATCTCTGCTAATGGTGATACGTTTGTTGCCGCCACTACCACCACCGATAAAGTACAGTACCTTGATCAGTTTCGTACCCAGCTCTCATCGATTCATCGTATCCCAGTTTTTTTCGCATTAAACGTTCCTACCGTGATAGATTGCGTCTTGTTCCCGAATCCTGCATCATTCTCTTTCCTAGTGAGCTAATACAAAAACATCTCTTTTATTCATTTTAATTGAATAATTTTATGTTAGTTCTTTGCTAGTAGAAAAGTCTCCGCCACTGCACACGAAGAAAATGCCGTTTAAGGAAAAGGCGGCGTACCGCTGCTTGATGGAGACTACTGTGACGAGTTTTAATACAGCAAAGCATCTCACCGGAACCCATCGTCATCGGTTTCATATGGGGGCGTTACGCACGCTTGAGGTGACGGTGAACGGTCCGCCACTGCCGGTGTCAGATGGCAGCTTCATTCGTTACTTTGCCACAAATCTTTGTCGTAACACTTGCTACCCACGTTGGTCGATTGATGTGCCACCACGGCAACAACAAAGTCACCTCTTGTCATCCATATTCAGCGTGCGGTGTAAGTACCACTGAAGCAAATCGCTTCCAGTGAGGATGTCTATGTGGCCAGTTTCATCGCCGGTGGCATGATGTCCAAACAAATTGAATCTATCACCTTTGCTGTCCATCTGGACGCAAATTCCCAGCTATAGTCTGTCGCCATGATGTTGAATGTCATTTGAACACTGTCTTGGCATATTTCTCCGACATGTTCTGCGCTCTGTGGTTGTCCGCCATGGCAACTCTCTGTACTCGGGTCACAATGTGGCCTACCGGTACCAGATCGGGAGTGGTGTTGAAGGCGCCATCGCAATTGATTGAATCCTCAACTCTAATAGATACGTCAATCGAGTTCTCTTTTAGAGTGTTCAGGATTGCCAGGTGTAAACATTGTTCAGCTGAGGCAGGGGAGAGATTCAATCCTAGTATAATGCTTTTTACCTTTTATCTCCGCTACAGGACTATACAATTTTCCATGAGCCATAGGAGGGGATATCCCTCATGCAACTTACGCTTCCACATCCACTGAATCCAAGACTGATAGAGAAGGAATGGATGGGAGCGGGGAGGATGAGCTTCCAGAAAAGGTGATTGATCTAAAGTGAAGTTGCATCGCCAGTGTGGAGGATTTGTGCTCTCACGGGGATGGTGTGTGGCGAAGGAGAAATCATCTAGTCTCAGTGTCTTTTAACATCTCCCTATTTTTCTACTTTTCCCCTCCTCCCCATCCCCATTACTTATAGGGCGTCAAACTATCTGCCCTCTTTGTTGGTCGTTTCCTGGGTCATTTGAAATTTTACATGCTCCAAAGTGTACTTGCCTGAATAAATTGCGTACTTAGTCATCACCTGCCACTTGATGTTGGAGATCTGACAGATGCAACGGCTGGTGTAATTGCAAATATGTAGGTAGGTGTAGGACTAGTAATGGGGCAATGGGAAACTTAAAAGGCAGGGAGAAATTGAGGTGGATAGATGGGAAGCAGGGCACATTTTGTCCGTCTTCAAAAATGATTCTGTTGGTTCTGTGGGTACCAGAACTATGAGGCTAGAGCGTTTTTTAGTTTTCCTACCAGGGGTGATCTGAGCGGCTCTATTAAAAATACCACCAACACAAGTCTAAAACAAACACTTTTGCATTCCAACAAACTTCCTCCAAAATAAGAGCACTTAAATCATGCAGCACTAAGATGGCAAAAATTAAAGTCCTATTGTGCAAAGTTTTGTATCAACAAGACAACTATAAACTAAAGATAGATGGTGAAACTACCAAAAATTGCATCTATATCTTCAGAATACATTGTTTTAATCAAGCTGGAACTTGTGCGAACATCACCTCGGCAGCAAGCTAGGAGAGTTAACGTGGCTGGACAAAATTCTCTGACAATTGGAACCTACTGAAGTGGCAAAGGAGGAAAGTGAGTAAAATAAAATAGTCGTGTGGGATAACTACGCAAAATAAATTCATAGGATGGCATAAGAAGGTTTATTGAGAGCACACCAACATCTCTTGCCCTGATAACAACTAACTTTTCCCTAACAGTAGGCATAGATTTATTTATTTTAGAAGTACTTTGTGGTCAGCAAACAAATATTTTACTGTGAAAGTGAGGTCGTTTATAATATTACAGTTTGTTGGTTTAGAATAGAAACGGATCTTGACATAGCCATCGCTTTAGAAACTGAATCTTACAGTGCAAAATAGCCTTGCAAAACTGTGGCCGAACCTAGGTTTACGCAATGCACTTTCCTTGCTTCGTGCCAAAGTTACCCTCTTATTCATGATGGAACAAAAGTGCACACGAGAAACCTAAAAACCTCTCTTTTGGTAAGAATATGCATCGAAAATAACCATCTTGTGTAGTAAATTTGTACCATTCCCATCAATCTGTAGCAGCCTCTAATAAATTTAAGGTCAAAAAAATACCCCCATTGCATTTGTGAATTCCATTGGAGGATCTGATTATTCCAGAAGCAATGGCAGGCACAGGATTTTCCAAAGACAGCACCTTTCATCTTCAACGAGGCGCTTGTTCTGGCTGCGTACAATTTAGCTAAGTTAGCCAAGTTGGGATATCACAGTTTCATTGTTCTGCATTGAAAGCTTTACCATTTGAAGGCAGAACATACAGAAATTTGAGTAGAAATTTAGCACAGACTATATTTGGTGAGTTGCATCCTCCCAAAAAACATCCGCTTTTGTGATGCTGTCAGGGTTGAGCTCAGTAGGTTAATCCTCTTAAGTAATACCTCGGCAAATCGCAACATGCCTTTCTGCATTTCGGTTGTTTAGGCTGTTGTCTCAACGGTAAACGAGCCCTGCGTTGTGAGTTTTGCATTCCATATTGCAAGGGAGGTAGCTTCATTAGATCCATATACCTTTATGCTTGTAATACCCTGTCATACATACTGTTTGCATTAAAATCTGTAAATCAAGCCAAATAAATAGAAATATTTCAAGGCTTCAAATGGGATAAACTTGATTCATTTGTGTTGAAAAATTTAGATAAGGCATGATAGATACAAAATTTCGAAGGTAATAAAATGTTGAATTAATTTGACCTAGATCTTGTCTGGTCACCAGAAGTACAAAAATTGTATGGGATTTCTTAGAATTTCTTCGTGAGTAGGTGTACCACAACTATTCCGAGTAGTGACAAAGAGTACAATGTTGGCTTATCGTACCTATCCACACAGGTGCGACGCATTGCTGGGACAGTAGCCATTCATTTTCCCACATCGTGCAGGCACATAACTGTGCACAAATTGCAGAGGCCTCCTCATCCTTTGCCATCTGCTAGCTTGTACGCTTGCTCACTGAAGAGCGCCACGTGCACAAACATGCCTGGTGGTTGGTCTACTAACTGGCCGAGTCTCCAGATGGCTGCCGATGCTGTGGGGGCTAAAAAGAGAAGTGCACTGATCCAATTCCACCTCACCTAATCAGATTAGTTCTGCCGTGCCTTAACCTGCCCTCCATGGACACAGTGATAGAGTAATAGAACTAAAGACTAATAAATATGGATTGAAAATAAACATGACCTTTTCCTAAGTTACATTTCAGGTCACCTATTGTAAATCAGAGAGTGTGACTACACTCTGGCAATGCTTTCCTACCACATTAAGTAGGCCTATTAGGCATCAAGATGTTTCGACTACTGCACTGCAGTATTTCTGCCACCAACACGTCAACACGGAGATGACAACACTGCTCACGACTCCGCTCTCCTACAGGCGTGTGTGAGCCGAGCCTTCAGTGTGCGTCATCGCTTTCAAGGGAGCAGTCGCTAGTTAATGAGGCGAAGCATAAAACACTGGCAGCTCCTGCCTGTATGAAATAATTCTAGCAGATAGCGCGCATAGTAGATAGGTTAGACAGGATCAGCTGAAGTTGATATAAAGAGTTGCAACAGTCGTGGTGATGGCCCTTATTCGACATTACGCATCAGCATTTGTGCACCACACAAGGCTATGCCAACAGTTCCTGCTGCCGGCATTTTCTTGGGTACAACCTTCGCCACCGTCGGTATTTACCAATAAGACAGGGTGAAGATCATGGCCAACGATTACGGTAACCTCAGAACCCCGAGTTGTGTGCCCTACACAGATAAGGAAAGACTCATCGGTGAGGCTGCAATAACCCACATGCAAAAACAGGCCTGGTGGCTCGTCTACTGGCTTACTGAGTCTCCTGATGGCTAACGATGCTGTGGGGGCAAAAAGAGAAGTGAGAGAGAAATTCTAGACGATAAGATAGAAGAGTGGAGGGATTTGTTCCAAATTCTAGCATTCCAGAGTGTTGCAGACCAGGGGTAATCAAGGCAGCATAAATAAGCAAAAAAAATCAAGGCGTGTCTTTGCTAATCAACTAGAATCCACCCATGCGCAAGTCAAAATCCAGGCGATTTGGGGCATCGGGTTATAGGGAGAAACTTTCTCTGCAGCTAACAGGCACCCACGTGATCCAGCATTTCTTCATTCCTACCGGCCTTTCTTGCTCATCTACTATTTCTTGTACCTTTCCAAAGTCACGAGCGCCAGATACTATGCTGCTGATCTAGTGCATTCAAGCAGTTTTCCTCCTTGACTGTCTACGGCAACAATGAAATGCTAATGTTTTTTGCGTAGATAGACAACTAGCTTGGACACCGAAAAGACCTTCCCAGCTTCTTGCAAAGCGTCCTCAAAATGATTCTATGCAGTAACAAATTGCACTACTACAAGCTTGCAACTTACTTGTTGGCTGTCCCCTTCCACGTCTATGTAGGCGATGTGGGTTAAGTTGCTGATTGTCTGCACAAATTCGTGAGGCTTCTCCCGTAAGTAGACCCACCGACTTTCAGCAGCTCACAATCACCACACAGCTGACTTTGGCTCGATAGATAAAGCATTTCATCCCTTACTTCGACCCACATTACCCCCTTAATTCAACATTTTATTCGACGAAATGTCAAATCATGATTGGATATGGACAATGTGAATTTACTGCGTCTACGCGAATTGATGATAACTGTCTACAGCGTGTGAATCACATGGACCATGACAAAGAATTTAGTGCCCAAAACCCATTAATTTCTAATTTTCGATTTATTAACCTAGATGCCAGACACTTAATTACCAAGTCTTATCAAATTACGGTGGTGTAGGCAAATTCGGACAAATTTTCGACGTTTTTTGTGCATGATTTTACTTTCTCAGTAGGTCAGTCCAGAGTGCACTAGGAGTGGAAGTAATTCAGTCAAAACCACTTTATATTAGCGTGTATTTTGGCACTATGGCACACAGAAATATGCCTCTTCCACATTTTGACGACGTTCTTAGCCTGTAGAAGCATGCGGAATCCCATAAGCTAATACAAAGGCAATTGTTATGCGTCAGCTCAGAGGAAAATAGCACGAAATTGTAAAAATTAGATTTACAGATGCACAAGTTAGTGCTTGGGCTGGTAGAGTGTCCACGTATACCGAAGAAGGGAGTGCAAACAACAACATCCCCATTTTCAAAAGATATATCTATCTCCTGACAGGAAAATATTCACCTACATTTAATTCACATAACGTACAAGCATCGCTGGGATTATCAAAGCTGCTCATAAGTAGTCAGCAAACAGAAGTTTAAGCAGCAAGAAGGTTTCATAGCCAAAAACTCAAAGCATTGACATGTCTCGGTGATGTCAAGCCTGAGTTGGTGCATTGGTGAATAACGTAAGTAATGCTTATTCAACCAAGCTTTAATCCTGGCAGAACGTATATAAATCCGAGGTTAATTTCGCCTAGAAAGCTTGAGGAAGCGCAAGTGATTCCTGACCTTCGTTTTCTTTCTATATTCTTCGCAAAGTTAGCTCCATTCGGTGTTCACTTACAACATATCGCACCATGGAGTTGTATCTTGTCTGGCAATCATCATTCGAAATGAGTTACTTGACATTCCTGGTTAGAGTCATTCCCATCGCGCCGAAGAAGGGCTGAATGCGATCAAAGTAGAGGGAGAGCAGAGCTTTGACTTGATTCTGTTCTCCTCGTACTTTAATACAGTTCAAAAATGCCAAAACAGCCAAATTTATTTATTTAGTATAAAATATTCCATAGACATGCCAACTGTTTATAAAATTGTGGCATTTTCAATGCTTTAAGGGCTGAAGTATAAAATTTTTATTTTAGATGTGGTCAAGAGTCCTTAGGACACGTCCAAAAGAATGACCATTTACCTTATCTAACTCAAAAGTTTACACTTATAGCAGTTGTTTTGTAGCCAATTTTAATGTTGATCACAATGCTCTGTCTGCCCAAGTTAGTTATCTTTTGGATGTCGGGCCTCCGTTGTACCACCGTCGACGACATTACTGACTGCCTCTTCCCCATTCCTCGTTCCTCTATTGCTTTGAATGATAATCTGCAATGAGTCACATTTTCAAGTACTAAAATTAAACACTGTTTTTATTTACTCAATTCTCTGAACTGGCATAATTTTAACGGGAGCAAATGACTGAAATGGAGTGCTGTTAAAACCTATTAATGCAAATTTGCTCAATACACGCTATCTGATGAATGGGTCTCAAAAACTGTAGCAAAATGTCGTTGAGAATGCAGTGTATGCGTGCCAAAATAGAGTAGAGTCCAGACCCATCCGACGTAGATCAATCAAAGTTTAAAGGGACTTGCTAAATCATATACTACTGATTGTTATTGAGTAAAAGTTGCGCGTAGAGTGAAACCTAACCTGCCGATGCCTGCACGAGGATGCATATCTAACTAGTACTTCCACCACTTTCACAGAGTGATGCAAACCATTGCAGACACCGTTTTGACTATTTTGGCATTGTACCTCTAAACAAATGAAAGGTCGATTGTAGTCAGTTGGTAAAAGGCATTGTTTTTAACATAACAGGCCAAAGCTTGAGTGCACCTTCACAATCACAGAGCCTTCCTTTTCTTCAGTATTCATTATGAACTCAATTGGCATCTTCACCTAGCGTTGGTGTGACCACTGTATTAGTGACTGCTAAAAGACCCCGTTTCAAACGCATGATGTAATGCCCAATTTGGCCAATGCTTCATCGGCACGGGTCCAAATGTCATTTTTGGTAAAACAATGACTAAACCTGAATGCTGCACTGCACTGCTGTATTTTGCAGTCCTATATCGAACAATTCCCTTAGCAATAACAGCCTCTCCACTAGTAACCTCCTTAACCGGTTTACATGGGCACATTCCACCAGCCCGAACACCACACTACCCCTCGGTAAGCAGAGCCCTTGCAAGCTGTGGACCTGCACGTACACAGCTATTCACCATGTATTCGCTGGCAAGATTCCTAATGTGTATACTGATCCCCCTTATTGATAAGCGGGAGAAATCTTTAAGTGACCACGGGTCAGCTCTACTCTACCTATCCATTTTCTCAGCAGATTCCAAATGGAGAAGAAGTATATTTTGTGTACCACTTTGCTAGCTAGTAATTCCAGAGGACACTCTGGTTAGAAACACTTTGGAACGAGTCCTTACTATAGCAAAAGCATGCCGCCTGTACAGGTGAATGCGAGAGGCAAAAAAATAACTAACAGTTTGGATCAACTGCATCACTATAGCAATT